CCCAAAATTGAGTTGGACTATCGGCCCACCGGGACAAGTCCCGGTATCCCGATAGGCCAATCCGCCCCTGTGTGTTCCTGGCTGCAATAATCACAGGGGGGCATACATTTCCTGTTGAACCCCAGTATGACTTGGTTGTGGGCAATTGCTGTTAGATGTTACAAGTGGAAACCTAACTACTACAATGTTGTGTGTTATGCATGTTTCAACAAAGATGACTATTTAATGGTGAATAATTATGGTAAATAAAATTAACAATGATATTTAATATAGTTAATTTGTGCCTTGATAGAAGCAGATGCATTGGTCAATGGAAAATATCTATGAGAATTTTGCACAAACACATTCGTGAACCTTCCCCTTCTCAAGGTAGATACTAGTTTTTATTAACATTTTACTTATTTTAATATTATTAATTATTAAATGAAATAAACTATTACTTCTAAACTAACATATACAGCACTTGTATCGCATGTATTTTGGATCCTTCCCTAGGCCTAGCTCAATTTAACCAAGTCCCTTGGCTTGACCATGTGGAATTTTTACTTGCTTTTCAACCAACTCTCATTTTCTCCCACTAAACTTCATGTTCTTCTGCTTACACAAACTTTGAAACTCTGCTAGTGATACATTTTCATATTTTGACATATTTATGCTAATAACAAGTATTGTCTATGCAGATATACACATATAAATAATCCAATGATGAAGTGTAATACCCTCTATGATTCAGCAATAAACTTGCTGGATGACTGAGTTGATTATGGTGCTGCCATGAGAATGAGTTTTGAATATTCCCCATTCAAATGAAGTACAAAATGATAAAGCATGCTTTTCACAAACTACAAAAACATTAAGACTAATTGTAGCAAAAGTTGATCACAAACACCTTTTCTTCTAGCAGCATATTGCCAAACTGTGCTTTTATCATTTTGTTCTGATCTCAACTGAGCTTACATGAAATTCTGCTAAACTGAAAGCCTTTCTAGCCTTTACTGTTAAAAAGAACAAGAAAAAAGCTTTCATTTCCTGGCATGTTTAGATCAGTACCCTGTAACTTTTTGTGCCTCCTGGTGGCTAAACGATAAGTTCTGGGGCTTATAACACAGAGAGCAGAGCATAAACAACTCATTGTGTAGTAGCTTTGTGCTTAACAACAAACAAACAAACTACTTCTTGAAGTTGAGGTATAGTTAGTTACATCCCATTATGACAAGTGAGGTTGGGAAACTGATTGGTTAAAAATCAATGAAATTACACTTGTATTCAGCACAGAAGTTAGAACATTTTTGTTCAAAGCTATTATGATTTCCCTTCTAGGGTGCAATAAGTGCCATATTATGCGAATAGAAAATTCAAGAAATTCACGAACAGTAATGATTTTGTTAGGAAGTTGCTGAAATCAACCCAGAATCAACTAATGTTTTTTTTACCTATAACTACTATATAAGTACTTTTTTATTCAATAAACTTCAACTCTGGATTTTAACTTAATGTGTGAGTAAATAAATGAGAAACAGACAGAGATTGTTTTAACTGATGATATTTTATTCTATGATAAATAATGTTTTGTGCTTTGTGTTGAAAGGTAAAAGTACAGGGTTGTGTTTGTAAGCATATTTACAAATCAAAAGATTGTTGTTGTGAATAAAGTGGTCTGGGTGGTATTATTTTTAATTTCTCAGCAATCGATCTTCTGTGATCAGGAAATTCAAAACATTCTACTGATTCTGATTGCTGAACTAATTATCGGTAAAACACTGCATAATATAAAATAATAACTTCAAATGAGCATAGAATAATGATTTAAAAACAGGAATACTAATGCAATTCTCATAAAGGTGTCTGATACATTTTCCACATCTATTTCATTATTTAATTTCACCAGGCATAGCAAAAAGACTAGCCATGAGCTGCTATAATTTTAAT